TTTCTTTTCTCCCACGATTTTGCTGTTGAGATCTTGAAATTGTTTAGGACTTGTCATCAGTTTTTCTTGGGTAGTCTGCTCTTCATCTACAAAGAAAAAAACATTGAAATGTATTTAATTCTTGATAAAAAAAAAGGAAATCATATAATACAGTTAACACAAAGTTGTTTCTTACGTACCTCTTCTGATTTGCTAAATCTTGAACCCACGAAAGTCATGGCATCAGATAGCTTACCAGTGGTTTATTTAGCTGTAGGAGAATAGTCTTGTGCTGATTTGGTGGAAGCAACCTTTGATGAGGCAGTCATGGAAGCCTTTAGCTTCTCGAAGAAAGGCTTGAGTTCTGCCTTTTGTGAATACTTCTTCTCAAGTCCTTACATGAATGACATTGTCTCTTGGAAGTCTCTTTCTCTATTTATGTCACTGACGTGGTCGATTTTGAGCTTGAGCTGGCGGTTTCAGATGGAGAGGCCTCATTTTCTTTGGCATGTGAATTCAGCGGCGCCTACATGAGTAAAGTTTCTAATTTAGGGAAGGTACGAAAGTCACTATCAACATAATGTATCCATATTACCTCAAGCACACATATCTGAGCAACATTATCTTGGAGACCAAGCTGATTGAACTGGATGTTTTCCTCGTGAACCAACTTGAATCTAATACAGTGACAAGGAGAAACCCAAACAACATTCCATACTGAAGCACACGAGGAGGGATAAGAAAATCAAACCTATTTTATCGCCAAAAGATTGCACACCCGTCAACAGCATTACCCGTCCGCATCTACAGTTATGTACAAAACAGAGTTATCCTCACATTTTAAACCTCATTATCAAATCTTGACACACACCATTTATATTTAGTCCAAGAGAGTCAAACTCAGTCAGGACTGTCACAAAAAATATATGCGTATGATGCCAATTTTTAAAGAAAGATAGATAGCCCCTAAAAATTTTTTTTTCCAACAAATTCAGAACTTATACGTACCTTCCAGATGCCACTATATCCCGGTGCTTTAATTCTTCCTCCAAGTCTTGAAATTATCATCTTCCTGATATATACAAAGTAATATTAGATTACTGAACATATGAAAAAGATAGACAGTTGCAAGAAGAAACTAAAACCTGGAGGCACATTATATCAGCAGACCATAGGCCTAGATCAAACGCAATCTTGCTCTTCCTCCATTCCCCAACTCAACACATTCCTCGATATATGAAAATAAAGATTTCTCCAGTGATCATTCGCAAGGTAATCCGCCAATAAGTTATACGATGGAACAACAAACTTCTCTGCAGTGTAAAAAACAAAACAAAAACATATCAAAAACACTAAAGCTTAGTAAGTAAAAGTCACGTGATGGAAAGATGGTCAAATTTTTAGTAAGCTAAAAATTACGGGAGCCAGGAGACGGTGCCGTTTTGGCATATTCCCATTCACGGTAATCCGAGGGTTTGGACCGTGGCCGTTGACGGAAGCTACTACGCTGCGGAGGAGGAGGAGGCCGAGACATCTGGTTTTGATAGAAAGGCGAGGAGGACAAACTGAATAGCTTTGACGTGAAGGCGGGTGATTAGGTTTCTACGTCACCAAGACCGATATAAAAACTCACCGCCTTACAAAAGTAGTTTAAAATCCTCTTCTGATTGTTTGAGATGAAGACCAACAAATGATTTTTCTAAGAATTTTTTTGATTGTGGAGGAGGTAGATTGTCATAGATTACCTGATTTTGTTCCATACAAACCCATGTTGATCCAGTGGTCAACAATCTACAAACTTTAGATACACACACAAAAAACCCAATTACATGTTCATTCAAAAAGATACAACGATGACAATACTAAATTATAATGACCTGAGGATAACAAATCTGAAGCGCTCCACACATTTTTTGGGGGAGGCAGAAAGCAATAAGCTAGATACCTAATGGGCGAGAGAAAGTGAGAATCAGATTGGCCATCGCTCACTCTATATATAAACCAATTTTCAATAAATCAGAAAAAAAAAAGGGTTCTAACCCTTGGTAATAAATGAAAGTAAATGTATGAGAAACAACTACTGATTTACAGGGAGGAGTTGAGAAGATAAATGTTGAACGAAAAAAGTCGATGGCGGTGAAGGAGGAGGTGGAGAGGTGAGTCGAGGTGGGTTATCTAGGATCCGTTCAGCCCCCGCGGCTTGGATTGAAACCCTACTCGAGGATGATGAAGAAGACGATTTGAACCACTCGTGACTCGTTTGAGTTCCCGAGCTCCATGAGATGGGATTCCAAGGTGGTGGCTTTCACCGTGAAATTCATATAGAGTAAAGGGAGAATTTCCGGTGGATTTAAAAGATCGCATGGCCAAAGCTTTTGTCTTTTTTTTTGTGGAGGTTGTATATTTTGTTTGGATGTAAAATTAGATGAAGAGTTTTTATAGATGGAGAAACAAAGAAGGTGAAACAAAATCATGAAGAAAGGAATAGAAAAGATAATTCAATGTTTTAAGAGTGGATTGATAACGGCTAACAGCAAAATCTTGAAACGACAAAAAGGTGAAAACGAAGGAGAGAAGTCGGAAACAATCAACGATGGGAGAGATGAGTTTGAAATTGGCCAATTAAAAACCCACATGAATGGCCATGTTGTAATATAATAGAAAATGAATGATGTGGCAATTTAAAATTTTCTGATTGGTTAATTATCCTGGCCGACGTGAACACTCTAAAAAAGTTTTAATAAGCGCTTTTAATAGTGTGTGATGTTAAAGAAGGAATATAACCCTTGGATCTTTGAAATAAACATGAAACACTTCTTTCTAGTCTCTAACGTTCATGTGTGTTCTACATCGTGATATCTACTGGGTTCACCTTGTCTCTCTTAACCTTTATCTTCTTTTCGATAGGGAAATTGAAAAACATCTTCAAAGTTTCCTCCACACTCTTCCTAGTGTTGCAATGCACACCATATTTGATCACCTAAAATAATTCCCATTTTCACATGCATCACCGATCTTCAAGATTAGAATTTGGATATATGGGTCGTCTAGACACAAGATGTCGATTATAGGTACTTCTTCGGACATGTTAGGGATGAACGATAACGTGAGTATTAAAAATATTTCCTTATGGAAAAAAAATCAACGATAAAAATCAATCTAATACTGACTCATAAATTAACGATAACAACATACTAAACAAGAAAGTTAATTATTTTTTATTTCTCCGTTGACTTGTAATTTATAGGTTGACAAATTAACGATGATCTATACTATTATTTAAAAAGTAAATTTGCTTAGTTGTCGTGTTCTCCAAAAATTTATGTAATTTTGTTTATTTATCATATTTTTAGTATATTTATATATCATTTTTAACAATTAAAACGAATTTATATGAATATATCATATTTTTTAGAAAATAAGATAATTCTTGTGAATTATGTTGTTACGTTGAAATATATTTATCTATATAAAATTTAAATATTAAATTAAGATATAAAATTATTATATTTATCATATAATTGAAACGAATTTATATTAATAATTTTATATTTTTCTAAAATAAGATGATTCTTATGTATTATGTTTTTATGTTGAAAATATATTTTCCTACTATAAAACTTGAAATTGTTATATAAAAATTATATTAGTAATAACTAAATATAAATTATCAAAAATATTATTTGAAAAGTGAATTTGTTGATTTGTCAATTTCACGATTTTAGGTAATTCTTAGGTAATTCTGATCATTCATCATAATTTCTCTATTTTAATGTATTATTTATTATATAATTAAAACTAATTTATATTAATAATATGATATTTATAAAATAAGTTAATTCTTTTGTATTATTTTGTTATCTTGAAAATTTATTTTTCTATTATAAAATCTAAAATAAACATGTAAATAATTTATACTATTGTTTAAGAATTGAATTTGATGTTTGATGATTTGTCATATTTTCCATGATTTTAGGTAATTTCTATTATTTATCATAATTTTATAATTTTATATATAATTTATTATATATTTAAAACGAAATTATATTAATAGTATGATATTTTTAGAAAATAAGATTTTTCTGTATTATGTTATTGTCTTTAAAATATATTTTTCTATTCGAATTTAAAATTAAGATATAAGAAGTTGTAGTTATTCTATAATTAACATAAATTTAAACTAATAATATTATACTTTAAGAAAATAAGATAATTCTTATGTATTATGTTTTCATCTTGAAAATATATTTTTATATTATATAATTTAAAAGTACATAAAAAATATTATTCTTAATTAATTATAGTTCATCCCTCAAGCAAAATTACTTAAGTGAATTTGCTGATTTGTTAATTTATCCATGATTTTAGGTACTTTTAGTTATATGTTCTAATTTCTATTGTCTAATATAATTTATTATATAATGAAAATGAATTTATCATATTATATTTTTTTAAATAAGTAACTTATACATTATATCTTGAAAATATATTTTTCTTTTATAAAATTAAAATTAAGATATACAAAATCGTAATTAAATATAAATATTATAATTAAATACAAATCAAGGAAATTAATTATACAAATATATTTTTTAAATATTTTTATGTTTGATTTATACTTTTTGAAAACATAAATAATAACTTATTATACTGGTTTTAAAAAAATATCAACTAATAAATATTCATAAGAGAATTATGTCCGAAACTTGCCGACAAGATACCTGGTTTGTAAATATAAACCAATGCAAATTTTATTGACAGATTACTGTGGGGAGTGAAACAAGCGAACTTTGAGGTCAGCACACAAATATAGTTAAAAATAAACAAATACAGATAAAAACACAAAGAATGTGATGAATTTACACTATAGACATAGAATTACAATACTGGTTACATGTCATCTTAGAAATTTCATAAAATCATCTACTTACAAAATACAATTGCAAATGTTTTTTTTTTTTTTCAAGTTTGATTATTTGGAAAATTTTAAACCAAAATGAAAAATATTTAAAATTGTAGGCTTAGTAACCAGGAAACATTGGTGGTGGAGGTGATGCATATTGGAACCCAATATTTGGTGGAAGGATGAAATCATCACCACCGTCATTATTTTTTGGTGGTGGTGATGTTATAGTTGGTGATTTTACTTCTTGTGTTGAAGGTGATGGTGCTTGGACTTGTTCTTCTGAAGGAACTGGGGATATATCTGGTTGGGAAAGTGGAGTTGGAGTATGATTCGGCTCGGAGACGGGTGCCGGAGCAGGTGCTGATTTGAGCACTGGTGATTGATCATATTCTGAGGGTACCTCTACGGTCTTAGATTCTGGGGTTGGAGCTTGAACCGGTGATGAATCTTCTTCTATTTCTGATGAAGGTGCTGGAGAAGGTGTTGATTTGAACACTGGTGAATGATCTGATTCTGATGGTGCTTTGACGGTCTCAGAGTTTGGAGTTGGAGTTGGAGCTTGAACTGGTGATGACTCTTCTTCCATTTCTGATGAAGGTGTTGGAGTAGGTGCTGATCTGAAGACTGGTGAATGATCTGATTCTGATGGTGCTTTGATGGTCTCAGAGTTTGGAGTTGGAGCTTGAACTGGTGATGACTCTTTTTCCATTTCTGATGAAGGTGTTGGAGTAGGTGCTGATCTGAAGACTGGTGAATGATCTGATTCTGATGGTGCTTCGACGGTCTCAGAGTTTGGAGTTGGAGTTGGAGCTTGAACTGGTGATGACTCTTCTTCCATTTCTTCTGAAGGTGTTGGAGTAGGTGCTGATCTGAAGACTGGTGAATGATCTGATTCTGATGGTGCTTCGACGGTCTCAGAGTATGGAGTTGGAGATGGAGATCGGACAGGTGTTGACTCTTTTTCCATTTCTGATGAAGGTGTTGGAGCATTTATTGTTGGAGATGCTGCCGGTGGTAGAGACGTTGTTGGTTCTGGTGGCGGTGAGAAACTTGGAGGAGGAGAATATATAGGTGATGGAGGTGGTGGGGTGTAGACTGGAGGAGGCGGAGAATGAACTGGAGGCGGTGGAGAATAAATCGGAGGTGGTGGAGAGTAAACTGGTGGCGGTGGTGGAGAGTGGACTGGTGGAGGTGGAGGAGGAGAGTAGATAGGTGCAGGTGGCGGTGGAGAGAAAACTGGTGGGGGTGGTGGTGGAGAATGGACTGGGGGAGGAGGAGAATGGACTGGTGGTGGTGGTGAGTGGACTGGTGGTGGTGGTGAGTGGACTGGTGGGGGAGGAGAGTGGACTGGTGGGGGAGGAGAGTGAACCGGTGGCGGTGGTGAATGAACTGGTGGGGGAGGAGAGTGGACTGGTGGTGGTGGTGGAGGAGAGTATACCGGAGGTGGTGGTGGATAAACTGGTGGAGGAGGTGAAAATACAGGAGGCGGTGGGGAATGAACTGGTGGTGGTGGAGGAGAATGGACTGGAGGAGGAGGTGGTGGAGAATGAACTGGCGGTGGTGGAGGAGAGTGTACTGGTGATGATTGTGGTGTTTCTTCTGTTGACGGTGGTTGAGGACGGCGTTTTCTTATCGGAGATGCCTCATAAGGATCATCCGTGACCGATGGTGATTGTTCATGCTTAGGTGACTCTTCAGGTTTAGACATCTCTGGTTTAGGAGATTCTTCTTGTTTTGGTGGTTGTTCCTTAGGTGACTCTTGTTTTGGTGATTCATGTTTAGGATGTGGTTGTTCTGATTTTGGTGAATCACGCTTTGGTGTTTCGGGTTTAGGAAACTCTTGTTTCACTGGCTCTGGCTTAGGCTCCTTTGGTTTAGAAGGTTCTGTTGGTGTCTCAAGTTTTGGACTAGGTTGTTGTGGTTTGGGAGATTCCTCTGGTGTTTTTGGTGGGTTAGGTGTTGGGTTTTGTGATGGGTTTGAGCCACGGCCTCCTCCTCCGCCACCACCGGCACACTTATCTTTACTGCAATCCACAGGACGACTAACCACTGGTAAACATTCTTTAGCCGGCTTTTGCTTTGGTCGGTTTTGTAAACAATTGCTTGTGTCATCAAACTGTTTATCTTGACTTGCTCCAGGAACACAACTTGTAGCTTCTCCATTGAAGAAGTTATAAGAAAATGTAAAGTTTGATAATTTTGGCAACTTGCAAATGTTGTCCGTAACAAATCCAGTGAGCTTATTGTATGAGAAATCCATTTGTTCCACATCAGCTAATAGTGACAAGCTTGACGGTAAACTTCCAACAAACCCATTTTTGCTCGCATCAAACACAGTCACATTGTTCAACGAGCCAATCTCGTTAGGGAAACAACCGCTCAAGTTATTTCCTATGAACACAATCTCGTTGAGATTCTTCATCTTACCAATGGTTTTTGGGATGCAGCCGCTAAATTTGTTATGCGCAAATGTCACAACAGAAGCAGTCGATTTACCGATTGTATCAGGGATCATTGACTCGAATCTATTGTTGTTCAAGAAAATAGCATCAAGATCCTTATCGAAGATCTCTGGTGGCAGTTTCCCTTCAAAATCGTTGTATCTTACATCAAGAAACTTCAAAGATGGCCAAGAGAGAGCAACTATCGGGAACGGACCAACGAAACGGTTGTTGCTCACATCGAATTCATACATTATTGTCAGTTTTTCCATGCTTTTTGGAATAACTCCGCAGAATCTGTTGGAATTAATATGAAACAAGGCGACATCTGTCAACAGACCTAGTTCATGAGGCAAATATCCAGCTATATCTGCATGGTTCAGATCAATTCCAGCCACAACCATCATGCTTTGATCATCAAGTGCTGGTGCGCAAAACACACCTTTGTAAGAACACACATTTGTACCAACCCAATTTGCTGATGTGTTGAAGGGATCAGAGTATATTGCTTTTTTCCAAGCTTGAAGGGCAATGTAAGCCCTCTTGAGCCGGTTGTTAGCAAATTTGAGGTCTACATCGACTTCATATTCTATATCATCGAGAAGATTATCATTTTCTGATAAAGTTAAAAGTTGACGTTTTGTAAGAAATGAAGCTTCTTCATCGGTGAGAGCGGTCGTAGAATGTATGATAATAGAAATTATAAAAAAGAATAGGAGAAGGAAGCAGCCATAAGGCTTCTCCATTGTTCTTCGAGTCATGGTGATGAAAAACCTTGGAGATGGCTCAATGACTTGCTTAATAAATGAATGCTGTGGAGATAAAGCCTATAATGAAAGAAAGGCAAACAGAAACCACCAATCTTTTTCTATTTTTAGCAAGACAAAAATTATACAGGCTAATGTTTTCAAGGGATGCAAAAATAGCCAACAATTGTAGCTAATATAGAATTCTGTGACAACGTCTTTAGAAGTTTGTTTGTTATACCACATTTGAAATCTGAACGATCGAGACTTTTACAAACTGGAAAAAAGTAAAAAAAAAAATCCTTTTTTTTTTATTTTTGTGAATTGCGTTTTGAATTCTTAGAAACGTTAAAACATATAAGAATATTGTTTCGTTGAATTGCCGATACTATAGACTATTTATTCGTCAGCATGATGAGGATAAAGTAACCTAACAAAATAAAACATCACAAGCCGTTCACATATACATACAAATTAGTAGTATAGCAATAAAAGTCTTCATAACTAAAAGAAATTTTCCTAGGATCAATTCAACAGGACCATCACAACATGGCAGAGCTCACTTCGTTATCACATAAATCTTCACTATTGTTCAATTTGTCAACTTGGTACCTAGCTTTACTATCTACTTTTTTTCTTTGTAGAGGCAACACAAACAAACACTTGACCCCAATTCTTGTGATAAGGTAAGGATCAGCATGTCTTGTCTCTGCCACACCACCGCCACCACAACATGGGCGAGCCATTTTGTGCTAGTTCATGGATCCGGTCACGGAGCTTGGTGTTGGTATAAACTCATATTAATATATATCAAGGCCACAACGTAACTGCGGTTGACTTAGCGGCATCTGGGATCGGTCTACGTTGGGCTGAGGCTCTATAGTCGTTTGCTGAGTATATTGAGCCGTTGATGAGTCTAATTGAGAGGCTAAATGAGAATGAGAAGGTGATTCAGGTGGCACATAGTTTGGGGGGGTTGCTATTTCCATGGCCATGGAGAAAATTCATATGGCTGTCTTCGTCACTGTTCTAATGCCTGACTGACCTTCAATCACACCATGCTTTCTTGCTCAAAGGGTATACTACTAATTACAAAATCAATACTATTAAAGGGGAAGGAATGCTAAAAAATCTACTTATATTTGGACCTTTTCATTTTTTAGTCCAACCTATAACATATAACAAAATATTATAAGTAACTAACAATTAATATTATTGATATTTGGTAATTTCCTCTTTTACCTCCAATATTCTCGCAACCTACTTCTCTTTTATATTTCACCCACTGGAATTTAAAAGTAACTAGATCTCGACCCGCACAACCGTGCGGGTTTTCTTTTTATTTATAATTTATAAAAAAATTATCAATAGATAACAATATAGTTACTTGTAAAATCTCGAAAAATATTAAGGTGATAGAAGTTAAAATATCATTTTTAAGCACAACATAAAAATATAAATTATCATTAACATATAACATTAAATGTATAAAATATAACATTAAATGTAAATCATACATTTTTTTTATAATAATAGCAAAGTTTTATAAAATAAAAAATCTGTGTGGATCAAACTCTAGTATATAGTTTTTTCCTTAGATTTTAGGAATATATAGTGCTATCTAGATAAAATTTAATTTCTAAAATAAAAACATTTGTATTTAAAATAAAATATAAATATATGGGCTGATATTATAGTTAAATTATGTAAAAAATGATATCTTTTTAAAGAATGGTCCAAATAAAAAAAATTACACATGAAATAACTCATGAATTATTTTAATAGTATAGATAGATAAATATATAATAGTTTTTTATATTTTAAATATAATTTCAGTAATTGTTTCTAACATAATCTATTTAAATTTTGTAAATAATTATTTTCAAAATTTCAACAATTTATATTATTATTCGCATTAAAATATAATTAAAATATTTTCGATAATTTTAAATTCATTTATAAAGATGAGAATAATTTTTAATGATTTTTTATAATAATTAGAATTTAAATTCATTGATTTACAGAAATACAATTTAAAAAGATTCTTAAGATATTTTGTTAGATTTATTTTATTTGTATTTTGAATAGAAAGATGAAGATATTCAAAGATATTATCATTAAATTATGTAACATTTGATAATTTTGATAGTTCTTCTAAGGAATAGTCCATTTTTAAAAAAAATCACACATGAATTAAAATTACGACTTCTGTTTTAATATATAAGATAGTTTCAATGATTCAATATACTAACCGGTTCATTAGAATTTTCAATAAATCTATAAATATATGTTTGCTTTCTTAGTGTAAAGACAAATGAGTTCATAGTTCAGAAAAAAAAAAAGACTAACCAGTTCAAAACAATTATTTTATCAATATATAAAGGCTTGCAAGTTCAGTGGAAATGTATTAAGACTTTGAGTATTCAAGAATATTTTTAAAATTATCATAAATTCAAATTTTAATCTAAAATAAATAAAAATATCAATTTATTATAGGTTATTAATAAAGAAAATACAATAATAGTATTATTTCAATAAATCTTATTATTATTATTTTCTTCGTCACAAAATAGACCTTAAAAATTAAAATGACCAAAATAACACTTTTTGAAAATTTTAATTTTTTTAAAAAAAAATTTGAAACCCTATCGTCAAAACCCCACTCCTCAACTCTAAACAAAAAAATCTAGGATTAGTTAACCCAAGGGGTAAAATGTATTATTAATAAAACATTTAAGTGCTATTTTGGTCATTTTAATTGTCAAGTTCTATATTTGTGACAAAAACTTTTTAGGTCTATTCTAGTCATTTTCTCATATTAATTTTATGTACTATTAAAAATTATATGAGATTTTAATCAATTTTTTATAATATTATATTTTTATGAGTTTCGTCAAATCAACCAATACTGGATCGCAGTTTATTAGCATGTTTTGGTTCAATTACGGATCTATGTCGAATTTCAAACATATAATAGATAAATTTAAAGATTATTTGTTTTCGACTCAAAGTAATAAACTCAAGTAAATTTTATTGTAATAAAAGTACGGTTCAATATTTCAAAGTCTAAATAAATTTTATAAAATATACACAAAATGTAATAAGAGAGAGAGTAAGTTTAGGCATTTCGGGTCTCTGGGTCAGGTACGGATCAGTTTCTTTTGAGTATGGATCTTTCAGATCCTAAACATTTAGATATAGGTAGGTATTTGATTTTTTTGGTTTGAATTCGTGTTCGGATTTGGATGAATAATTAAACTACATGTAATTTTTGGATACCTAACGGTCCAGATTAGTTTAGATATTTAAGATCCGAAAAAGATTAGAAGTATCTGAACTCCAAAAATACATAAACACCAAAGTGACCTGAAATCTGACCCGATAAATCAAAAAGTACCCAAAATTTCATCTAGATACCCAAATATTTTTTATTTTTTCTGAAATTTTACCTGAAACTAACTGAAAACCAAAATTCGAAACATAAAAAAGTATTTGTAATACGAAAATATATCACAAATATCCAAATACATCTAATATACACCAATATTATTCAGGTATTGAGTATCTGATCGGGTCTCGGATAAGATCAAGACTCGAACAGAGATTCGCATGTCCAAAAAATACTTAATAGATATTTTTCTTTGGGTTTGGATCCACACCAATATCAATGAATCGTTAGTTTGTATATATTTTTGTAATGATATTTTAATAAAAAAAATAAAACCTGCGTTTTTAAGCGCGGATCAAAATCTAGTTTCATTTTAAGAGTAAGATTGATCGTTTAGCTCAAAAAAAAAAAATCCTCGTTTAACACTTGTGTTATGTTTTTCTTCAACAGTTCTAAACATTTTGTAAAGTTGGGGAGGTGGCAAGCTCCACAAATGGACTGAAGTTTTATACTTGGAGATGGGCCTGATAAACCTCTTACAGTTTTCATTGGCCAAATTTTTATTTCATTAACTATGTATGATCTTAGTCCTAATTATATTATTCTTTTAAACCGTAAAAATTATGAACCTTAGAACCATAATTTTCTCAGAATGGAATCAATTTTAGAAAAGTGTAAATAATAACACTTTATCCATGAAAAGTTTGAACTCGGAATACAAGATAAAAACCGCTCACACTACCCCGTCAACACTGTCATTCTCAATTTTTTGGTAACACACATTTGAAGGACGTGGAACTGGTGGATTGGTTCAGCCACAGCGATTATTCAGCAAAGAAAACATAGATACAAGTCTTGTTCTCACGCCTAGGAGATATAGATCTTTGTACTGTCCGATAAAGACGAGACACAGGTGAGAAAGAATTTCAGCTTTGGATGATCAAGAACAACCCTCCTAACCACGTGGAGCATATCCAGGATTCTGATCATATGGTCATGATTTCTAAGCCGTTAGATCTCAGTGACTCTCTTTTATCTTTGGCTAAAAAGTTCGCTTGAAAAATATGACATTTCGATTCAACATTTTGTTTTGATCAATGATACTCATGGTTATCAATGCTACTGTTCCAATATTGCCTGGATATATATACTTTTGTAACACCACTCTGCAATTTGTTTGACTTTTGAACATCAGCAACTCCAACTAATTTTTTCATCAAATTAATCAACCTAAGCTGACCACTCTAACTAACATGCCATTTATGGATTATGAGAAGATTAAAATTTAACGATCAAAACTTAGCACTAACTAGGCAACAAGATCAAAAATAAAAATAAAAAAATTTTACACCAATAAATTAATTTTTTTTCAACCACTAAAATTACTCTGTTTTATTTCCGGAAAAACTATATGAAACCAATGGTTTTTAAAAGACAAATTGTACATTAAAATGAAATTACATTCACCTCTCCAATCGATTAATAAGATGGACTTAAGCATGTTACATATTTCATCTGAGACCTGAATTTGTGTCCCGAATATACACACGATTCAAATCCAGTTTTAAACTTTTGAGACATGCTTTTATTATCATGAAGCTTTCTTTTTGAAAAAAAAATGTCAATGATAGATTAACAATACTTTAAGGCTTATTGCACATTATATGATAACGAGTATATAGCTTTATAACTGCATTTTTTTCAAAGGTGCTTCAGAGGATCTCAAAGAAAGTTAAAGCGACTCACAAATTTTATTCATCTGTACTTTACCAAAAAAAATATTTATTCATCTGTAACTCTCAATGATTCTTTTAATTAAACTTATACACAAATCAACAACTTACAAAACGCCACATGGCACGAGGGCTACTAATTTAACGAGGCCAAAACCAAAACAAAAAGAAGCTCATCACATGAATCCAACTAGAGGTATGGGAACGTTGGCATAACTGTTCCGGTGACCGTCATGAACTGCCGGAAGCACCGGCTGAGGCTTACGGAAAGCTTCTTCTACTGATTCAGCCACAGTGGCGACAAAAACGATAGCAATCTTCACTAATTCGATGCAAAACTCCAGCTTTTGAGACACCATAGTGTGTTTAATTGTAGGAGAAAAATAAAAATGTATGATTCGCTTCTTTGGTTTGTTTTTTTTTTTTGCGCTTTTGAAGTATGTGTTCCTTCACTCTATTTTTTCCGCGTCTTGAGAAACTCTTGTCTTTGTGAGGTCTTACATGTGAAAGCCGAGTGATATTTATACACATTCACGTCGAGGCATACAAATAATTGTATGCATTATGATAAATTTAATAATTGGTCGACTGATATGCCACTTGGCGGTTGTCGCTCTAGCAACATTTCTCAGAAGATGCTTTCTTGTACTTTGGTTTATCCGAAGAGCCAATATTCTTTGGAGGCACTTTTTTTTTTTTTTTTTTTTTTTTTTCTTTGGAGGCACTTCTTTACTTACATTCGTGTAAGTATATGTCTAACGTTATTATTAACGCTTAGTGGCATATATAAACTGTTTATATGTGCAAGTACGTATACGTTTTCTTTTACTTATCCTAGATAAACGAGCATGCAAAGAAGGGTTGTACAAATTCGATCACGAATTTAAAATATACAAAATCTAAAAACCAGGTTATTTCATCAACCATAATTAACTGATCTAATATCCTAAATCTAAAATTAGAGCTAGAGCTTTTCCTATAATTAACTAAACCTGGAGTCTACGACGTGGTTGTTGTATGGTGTACGATTCAAATATGTATGGTGGTCGTTTTAATAGTTCATGTTGTATATATATATATATATATATATATATATATATATATATGTGTGTGTGTGTGTGTGTGTGTGTGTGTGTGTATTTTTGAGAAAAAATGACAAACATGATCATGTATATAATCTACGTGAAGACATATGTCAGTTACATAGTTATGATATTATTTAATAACATACGGGGTTTGTTGACTATGGATCGGAAATTCGGAATAAATTCTGCGCCAATAGGACAAGAGTACATGAAGATAACTAGGTGTTTTGCCTGCACATGCGGACTTAATTATATTTAAGTTAATTTAAAAAATTATCAAAATAAATAATTATTTGCATCCAAATAATTCGACCTAAAACATTAAACTTTTTTACATTGATAAATTTATCCACAAATTAAAAACAAATCTATGTTATCCTTTAAAATTTTGAAAAATCTAAAGTCTATTTCATTTCTTGGTAATTGATAAAAAATATAGAAATCTATCTTTCAATTTGAAAAATTGAATAGATAAATATACATTCAAAAATTGATCTTACAGAAAAAATAAAATTAGTTTGGATAATAATACAATATATTTGAATTTATTTTTGTCAAACACGTATTTTCTTTCTTTTTGAATGATCTTTTATTTTATATGATTAATTCATGTTTAAGGTTTAGCTATATAAAATATAATCATAAATTTAATTTAACGTGTGAGTTCAGAGGCGAAAAATAACTTCACGAATATATATCATTATATTATATTATTATATTATTTTAATTTGAAAATTACGTATTCTACTTTTTCAATTTCTCTTTTGAATTATATACAATTAAAAATTTTACTTTATGAATATTTCTTTATGTATTTTCTGTTTTTGAATTTTTTTATCAAAAATATATTTTCTGGATAACAACACAATATATATAAGAATTATCTTTTTATTTTATTTTTAAATATATATGTAGATTATGGATAATTCTTATTATTATTATTAATTTAAATCATTTATCTAATCAAATAAGTATTAAATTCGTTTTTATTTTTAGTTGATTTATATATTTTATTCATCAAGGGTATAAACGATATTAACCACTCCAACTTTTAACGTGAGAGCTCCGTTGCGAAAAATCACTTCGCAAATAATAGTATAGATTTGATTTGGTTTTTGATTGAAACTCTAATATTATTTTGATTACTTTGCATGGATAATATATATTTCAAAATTTCTTTTCTTAACACGATATATTCATACAAAAAAAATTGCATGATTTTACCAAAAATAAATAAAATTCCATAGATAAAATACTTACAAAACTTCGTACGTTCCCCTCGGTAGTGAACGCTGACTAAGATCTTGTTTAGTATATGCATACATACACCTCACATGATGTAAGATGATACTTTATAATGAGGAATCAAATGGTTCTCATTACAAAAGATCAAAAAGTCTTCTTACCAAAAAAAAAAAAAGATCAAAAAGTGTTTGATTATAAAGTGCATACGATAATCATTATTAACTGTTTCTTTTCCTAAGTGGAATCTGTATATGTCATTAAGTTTGCGATATTTGCAAATAACAACATGATTACTGCTAAAACAATATGATTGTCCCAATGCTTGAAAATCGGACGGACACCGACTCAATATAGCTACTAACAGGTCGAACCAGGTTTTCTATTTAAAAAATAATAATAATAACTAGATTTTGAACCCGCCCATCCGTGCGGGTATTTTTTCATTTTATAAAAATATAACAAAACTTTTCAAATATATATGATTTATATTCTATTGTTATATATTATATAATTGTATAATTTTAACTATTTTATATAATATATTGTTGTAAGTTTTAAAATAAAAAAAATATTTATATATAATGTATTATATAATGTATTTGTTGTGAGTTACAAAAATATACGTTAACATTTTTTGTAAAAAAATGTTCTATGATTTAAAAACTTTAATATGTTTTAAAAGGGAGTGATATTTATTTATTTATTTGAATAAAAGAAAATTTTTAAAACAAAATATTTTCCTTTACCAATTTAATATATTTTATATTCATTTCACATAGCATTTTATTTTAATATAATATATAATATAATTAAATTATAAAATATAAAAAAATTTATTTTAATTAACAGTAATATAGATATTTATATATATTAATCACGAAAAAAATATAACAAAACTTTTCAAATATATATGATTTATATTCTATTGTTATATATTGTATAATTGTATAATTTTAACTATTTTTATATAATATATTGTTGTAAGTTTTAAAATAAAAAAAATATTTATATATAATTTATTATATAATGTATTTGTTGTGAGTTACAAAAATATATGTTAACATTTTTTGTAAAAAATATTCTATGATTTAAAATTTTTAATATGTTTTAAAAGGGAGTGATATTTATTTATTTATTTGAATAAAAGAAAATTTTTAAAACAAAATATTTTCCTTTTACCAATTTAATATATTTTATATTCATTTTACATAGCATTTTATTTTAATATAATATATAATATAACTAAATTATAAAATATAATAATTTTTATTTTAATTAACAGTAATATAGATATTTATATATATTAATCACGAAATTAAATAATGCATATTTTATAAAAATATTTAAACTTCTTAGTAAGATCTTGTTAGATATTTTCTCAACAAATTTATTACTAATATCTTATTAATTAATAAAATATTTCTCCAATTATATATATTTGATTGATTAGTATAAATAATCAAATATATCATATTAATGAAATGGTCCAACATGACTTTTTTGTAGTAGATGTAAATGGTACTTCTCTTTTAATAGAGAAGATATATGATCATATATTTACATTATATAGATCTAAAAATCAATTCTACATTATAATATATTATCTTTATTAACAAGACAGATAAACAATAAACACAAATGATAAAAAAGTGAATACTATGTAAAATTAAAATTATCAAAACCAAACCATTAAACAGTCATATTAGCGTATATATATATTTTACAATTAAAATCTCAGATTTTATGAATATGTCAAAATAAGAATAATATATGAAAGTTAAATCATATTTATTTACATTATTTTTAACAAAATATAATTAAATAGAAAATTAATCAAATAATAATAGTCAAAATTTGATTATGAAATATTAAATGTTAATAACAATTGCAAACACATTACTTATATGTTAATTTTTAGGATCGGATTTTAAATTTGATTTAGTTTTACCGGTTTTTTGTCGATTTTACCAATTTTTTTCAGGTTCGGGTTTACACCGAACCAGACTCTCGGTTTGTTCAGCAGTCACGGTTGGACCGGTTCGACCAGCCAGTTCGATCCGGTTTTCAAAACCATTTCACTATGTCAGTGTCCTAATTCATATCCAAATCTCATTTAAACCAACTTTAAGACAAACTAATTCAATTGAAAGTAAACTAGCTGTAATCATTTTTTTGTGCTACAACTAGCTATAATCCAAACTAAAGAAAACGAATAGTTTTATTTCACTGTCCCCAAGTTTTTACAGACCTAGGTAAAAAATAATCCAGCTAAAAATAGGGGTTATAAATAACAAAACAAAGATCGGGGGTGAGAAAGTAATTCCATTTACGTCGTGGACTCGTGGGATTGCCGGATTGAAATGAAAATTAAAAGAATAGTCAATGGGGACGTACACCAAACTCAAAAGATGCATAATTGAGAAAAAAATATTTAAGAAGACAGTTGCTACTTGCAAGGAGCATCTAAACTATTGTTTCATAACTCTAAGCTTCAAGCTTAACTAAACAAATCCCCAAAATTAGCTAACCATATGTTCTAAGAACCCATGAGACATAGGCCACGTGTTTTCTTGGTAGTTGTCAAAGTGCAGAAAAAAAAACACACAAAATTTATTAATGAAATTCGTTCTCTACATTAGGGCTGGGCAATCGGGGTCCCAATCGGGTTTCGGTTCGGGTTCATTCGGGTTTCGGGTTTTCGGGTTCATGAATTTCAGCCCCATTCGGATATTATAAAATTCGGGTCGGATTCGGTTCGGGTTTAGTCGGGTTCGGTTCGGGTTTAGTAACATGTCCAAGATCCGGTTGAACCCGAAAAAGTTTCGGTTTCGGATACTAATCGGGTTATCGGTTCTAAAAATACTAATTTATACTCAATTAAACTCACTATATTTTCAATCATTTTATTAAATTTGTGTATTTAGCTTCTACAAACCATATTGTTCTCCTTCAAAATAATATTGTCAAACTCATCTATCAACCATATAAGATTTGTCAGTGAACTATATGTGACAACACTAAACATATCATGATTAATGACAAACCAAAGCCTTGTATGAACGAAATATAATATATAATGAAACATAAAAAATTAAAGTTAACAACTAACAATTCTATAAACATAAGAAGTGCTATTTAAACTTTTAAAAACAACATTATATAAATTTCAAACAAATTTATTCGTAACTTAACTTCAAATGTAATGTCAATCATAAACATTAATATTAACCAAATAACACTATATATTAGACTAAATATTTGAGTTAATTATTTATATCATAACTAATTATTGTAGGTACTCAATAATATATTAATTTGTTTTGGAAATATATTAGAAATTTAGATTGGATATGATACAAGTTTTTTTGGAATTTTAAAGTTTCGGGTTCTTTCGGATATCCATTTAAGTTCGGGTTCGGTTCGGGTAATACCCATAACCCGAAATACCGTAAAACAAGATCTATTCGGTACTTATGTCGGATTCGGATCGGTTCGGGTTCCTTTTTATCGGGTCGGATTCGGTTCGGATTTTCGGGTTCGGTTTTTTTTGCCCAGCCCTACTCTACATCTTCGAAATCTCATCTAGATTTCATTCATTTAAAACAAGAAATAAACTTATAATTGATATATGGTACAACATACACATTTATGTTTACCATTCTTTTTAAATAATTAATCTATAAAGATAAATATCACTAGACTTGTGCACAAAGCAAATACCTGGCGTTTTTGAGGTACTTGCTACCCGATTAGGTTTGTTTAAGCAATTATAAATTTTTATTTATATTTGGTTTATACTAAACAAGTACTTGTAATATTAATTACTTGTAAATTTTTGAATACTTGTATATTACTTGATTTGGTTTATTACTTGATTTTGTTTTGTATTTGATTTGGTTTGATATTTATCTTTTCAATTATTTAATCTATTTTTTTAACTACTTAAACATGAAATATTTAAATATATAATTTATATGCTGACATTAGGGGTTGGTTGAATATGGATCAGGATGAAAATTCTGCACCAATAGGACACAATAACATGAAGACAATTTGATGTTATTTTTTATTGAAACATTTTTCTAATTAGCTTGCATAGATAAAATACTTACAAAATTCGTATGTTCCCCTTGTCAGTGTAAAGGCTGACTAAGCTCTTGTTTAATAAATACACACATATACATCCATGATGTAAGTTGATACTTTATCATGAGGAATCAAAAGGTTCTCATTACAAAAGATCAAAAAGTGCTGATTATAAAGTGCATACGATAATGATTATGTTATCTATTATATTAAAAGAGAAGTCATGACTCATTTCATGTGTGATTTTTTTTTATTTGGACCATTAGCAAAAAAAGATTTGTTAACTATATTTCATTTCTTTGTAACCACTTCAATCATAATATCTTTGATATCTTTTTATTTTAATATAAATATGTATTAATTCTTTTTTAAAAATCTGTTGAAAAGATTTTAGCAAGATCTTAACTTTAAAAACATTATATAAATATTTCACTAATTAATAACNTTTTTATTTGGACCATTAGCAAAAAAAGATTTGTTAACTATATTTCATTTCTTTGTAACCACTTCAATCATAATATCTTTGATATCTTTTTATTTTAATATAAATATGTATTAATTCTTTTTTAAAAATCTGTTGAAAAGATTTTAGCAAGATCTTAACTTTAAAAACATTATATAAATATTTCACTAATTAATAACTTAAATAAAATTTCGAATTAGTAAAGAAAATAATTATACATTAATATATATAATAATCATAAACTATCAAATTAAATGACATTATTATAATAAAGTGAATGTTATAAAATTATATTATATTGATAAATTAATCAATTTTATTTTCATAAATAGAAAATATTAATGTTAAAAATATATAATAGATTGGCATAACGGATTAACATTAGTAACTATAAATACATGTATAAAATTAACATATCTTAAACTTTTATAATATCGTATTATCTTTATAAACATAAAAAATTTAATAAACGGTAATCTAACTTTGAAACTCAAATAATAATTTAGTATAAATTATATATAAAATAATATGATTTTTCATGCATACATTAATTTTAATAATTAAATATAAAGCCAATTAGATAAATATATAATAAGAAAAAAATTGATATTAACGTACAAGCTATAAAACTATTATGTTTGTAATAGTTATATAAACATTTAAACATATGACTAACGTTATTAATGATATAAAACAAATATATATACATATATATATATATGAAAACAAAACCCGCGCAACCATATATATATATATATATGAAAACAAAACCCGCGCGGTTGCGCGGATCCAAATCTAGTTTCTTTATTATGAAATGATTGGTAGTTGTTTATTACATAAAAGGGAATCTGTTTGCATGTTATTAAGTTTGTGGTATTTGCAACAACATGGATTTTTGCTAAAACAATTTGATCGTCCCAATTCGTATTAAACTTACACAAATGGTAGAAAATTATAATCCGAACTAATGAAAACAAAGACTTTTATTTCACTCTGCCCAAGTATTCGCAAACCTAGCTAAGGCAATCCCTAAACCTTGAAAAGGTAAAGTGGCCGGAAAATTAGAGAATTAGGGTTTTAATTAACAAATCAAAGATCTAGGTGATTAAGTCATTCCACTTAATTTGTGGAATTGAATGAATATCAAATTATCAATAGAGTAGTCAATGGGATCGACGTAAAAACTCAGAAGATGGATACGTCAGACAAAGTATTAATGAAGATTGTTGCAACTTGCAAGGAATATCTATACTATTGTTTCTTAACTAATCAAACTTAAGTTGACCGATGGATCATGAGAAGATTGAAAATGAAAATTTATTTTCTAAAATATACTCGCTTTATTTCCCAGAAAGAAACTAGATGAAACGTAATTTCTAAAAATAATATGTAATTTTAAGTTGAAAGAAAATTAACTTCACCAACCAATTCATTATATGAAAATGAACATGGTAACAAATTTCATCTGAGACCTGAATTCGTGTAAAGAACATGGTTACTCATTATGGTTAGTAGCTTCAAGATTTTTAAAGAAAGTTAAAGCGATTATTACTCAAATTTTTTATAAACGTTGACGATTTTATTCATCTGTAACTCTTCTTCATTCTTCCGATTAAACTTATACACAAATCAACAACTTCCAAAACGCCACATGGCACGAGAGCTACTAACTTTATCAAGGCCAAAACCAAAAAAAAAAAAAGCTCATCACATGAATCCAACAAGAGGAATGGGAACGTTGGCGTAACTGTTCCGGCGACCGTCGTGAACTGCCGAAAGAGCTGGCTGAGGCTTACGGAAAGTTTCTTCTACTGATTCAGCCACGGTGACGACAAAAAAGACTGCCATCTTCACTAATTCGATGCAAAACTCCATCTTTTGAGACACCATGCTGTGTTTAAATTGTAGGAGAAAAATAAAGAGGTATGCTTAATTCTCTTCTTCGGTATGTGATTTGCGCTTCTTCGGTATGTGTTTCCTTCTCTCTATGTTTTCCGCGTCTTGAGAACTCTTGTCTTTGTGAGGTCCTTCTTGTAAAAGCCGAGTTGTATTTATACACATTCACCTCGAGCATAAAATGGATTATATGATCAATTTAATAATTGGTTGATTAATATGCCATATGGCGTTTGCTTTGTTAGAAACTTTTCTGTGAAGATGTTTCATTGTACTTTGATTTATACGAAGAGCCAATATTCTTTGGGGGCATTTCTTTACTTACATAGTTACATGTGTAAATCTATACTATATAAAAGTTGAGGCTATAAGCCATTGAGAGCGTCCACGTAGGATTTAAGTCCTCCAATCGTAAAATGACACATCATTATTTTAGTTTATTATTTTTAGAAAATGTCATTGTTTCCAAATTATATTAAAAACGAAATTAATATTCCATATATAATTTAACTAACAAAATAAATATTAACATTTTACA